TGGATGGGGTAACTGGGGAATTCCGATAAACTAGGTCTGTAGAAGCTTATTTTCTTGCTCTCTTTCTATTAGTCATATGTTGCCTCCTCTGCATGATCGATAGATCTGACCTGGACTGTAACATATGCAATTCTATCTCTCTACATCTTCTCTCTATGCAATTCTTTCTATCTGTTAGCCACATATTGTCTCCTTTATGTGACTCAAAATCCGACCTGGTACACAGTATATGCAACGTTCTCTTCTCAATTCGTCTAAAACTTCAGTTAGTCATATGTTTCATCCTTTGCATGATTGGAAGAGATCCGACCTAGATGTACAACATATGCAGTCTAAATCTATCTTCTCTCTTAATAATTATCTGCTCACCTGTTGTAAGGAGTATTTTGGAAGTCTTTGATGGTTGGGGCATGTCAGGAAGCGGGAAACAAATTCTAGTACAATTAAAAATAAACACATGCAAGTTGTCTGTAGATCTCGTTGCTCAATTTAGGTTGACAATAATATCCCTGGTTGTAGTCAGTTAAATGGTCCCTAGAAATTCATCTAAGAATATAGGATCAAAAGGTCTTGTCATTCTTAGCTTGTCCAAATTTGTCACAAATTTTTCGTGTTTAAGTGGATCACAATACCAGCGATCAACCAGATTTAGACATGAAGGAAAAGGTATTTATAAACGAATTAAGGTTGTTTAACAACTTTATTCCCAAATATTTTTGTTTTTGTTAAATTTGTTCATAGTTTTCTTTTATGCACAAATTTAGGGGGAGAATTATAAATTAAATAAAAAAATCAAACAAAAATTAGAAAAATTCAAAAACCAAACAAAAATCCAAAAAGTTCAAAAACAACTAGTGTTATTTCTATTTTATTTCTTGTTCATAAAATCAAAAATCCAAAAATATTTTTGTTTTTGTTTTAATTTGTGTGCTAAGTTTTATTTTTGTTTTGTTTTGTCTTGAAAAGTGATTTTAGGTGTAGATGAAACTCATGGAGTTTGTGGCGAAAATTTCTGAGCCCAAGCTTCATCCATGATCATCGAAGCATTCTCATTCGAAGTAGCAAGAAATGAAGATTATTCTTTCAACATTCAATCCTTCAACCCCAGAAGCAAGGTGAAGCAAAAATTGAAGATTATATGACAGATTGCATTGAAGCGTCCTGAATCAGTCTGCTGCTATCTATGAACCTGCTGAAGTGATCCAGAAAATTATTTCTCTCTATAGTTCTCTCTGAAGATTCTCATGTTGAAAGCATCATCTTTCAAGAATCAGTAAATTAAGCATCCTCACCTAATGTGCGTTCAATTCCAAATCTTGAAGAAAAGCTTAAGGGCTCAAGATGAAGTCATTCATGGAAGATTCATAAGTTCACTCCGATAATGTGAAGAAATCGAAGGTTAAAGCTGAAGCCAAGCTCCCATTGAAGATTCACAAGAAGAGCCATCTAATTTTAAGGGGGAGCTTGTTGTGTCAATTAAGAAAATAAAGTTATAAACCAGGGGGGAGATTGTTGGCTAAAAAATATGGTTTATACATTACTTTTGTAGGAAAATTGTATTTTTGTGTCTTGGACCGTAAACAGCTTGGTGTTTACGGCCATACAAGTGTTTACGGCCGTAAACCCATTTACGGTCCATGTTCACCAAGCCCATATTCCCTAGTGTATATATATATATATATATATATATATATATATATATATATATATATATATATATATATATATATAGGTGTTAGGGTTGATGAATAGATTTATGAACATGTGAGACATAGACTAGACAAAGAGAAGAACTATTGTGTGTTAGTGTGTGTGTGTGTGTGTGAATCTTTTGTATCTGGATCATCATTCTATTCATTAATACATTTAGATTCATCATCTTTTTCTTCTCATTCTCTTCTATTTTATCTGACATCATCCAATTGATTGGGATTCTGCACCATCAAACAGATCTGATTGATACACATAAAATTAGGGACTTACAATTAGGGCTATTGTATCCTAAAAATCCTGAAATTGAATTGTATGCTTTCGCTGACAACAATTATCGAGGTTGTGATTTTGATAGGAAATCAACTTCAAGTGGTTATTAGTTTTTGGGGAAGAGATTGGTGCCTCCACAGTGCAAGAAATAGCAGACGGTGTCGACCTCGACAACTGAGGATGAGTATGCCGATGCATCAACCTGCAACTCTCAGGTTATCTGGATACAAGACCAATTGTTGGATTACGGTTTGAATTTTCTTGACACCTCCATATTATGTGATAAATATGTTGCTATATAAATTTCCAAAAATCCTTTTATGCATTCCAAAACCAAGCACATCAATAGTAAATTCATTTTATCCGAGACACTTATGAGCGTAAGCTCATCTATTTGGAGCAGCTCTACACTGATAATAATGTGGCATAACTATTTATCAAACCCTTCAATAAAGCTCGATTTGATGTGCTTGTTTTCTTTCTAAAGATGATTTGTTTTGAAGACTAAGTTTTTTTTTTTAATTTGCGCATTTAATTTTCCTTTATTTTCATCTCTTTTCTCTCATATGCACAAATTCAGGGGGAGAAATCAAAATACAAAAAATATATATTATAAAAAAAATACATAAAATATGTCTTTATGTTTTTTCATAAAATTATCAAAAAATGGTTTTTCTTCTATTGGTGTCATTTGGGAAGTGATATTAAGTATAAGTGATAATGGACAATTTTAAACAAGTGTAAGGTATTGAAGCGGAATTGTCTAGACTACGTGCTCAACGTGCTGGTAGATATAAAGGACTAATAGAGAGGACTGGACACTGTGACAAATGAAAAGACTTATCATAATGGAATTAGATACATCTAGACTGGCCATATGATGCTCGGGTAGATTGAGCAATGAGATAAACAAGGGAACCTGCGTGATACGTTTAAGTTACTTTTCTATTGGAACTGTGGCTCAAAACTTTGTCGGCATATGGATTCATGTCCTTAATTACAGTACTGATAGGGCGACTGGGGGGTTCGGATAAAGTAGGTCTGTAGGAAATTATTTTCTTGCTTTCTATCTATCAGTCATATGTTGCCTCCTCTGTGAGATTGGAAAAGATCCAACATGGAATGCAACATAGTTGTTTTCTCTGCGAGATTGGAAAAGATCCGACATGGAGCACTACATATGTAACATTCTACCTCTCAATCCCTCTATCTATGTTAGTCACTTGTTGTCCCTTTTGAGTGATTCGAAGAGATCCGATATGGGGCACAACATATGCATTCTATAGCTATCTTCTCTCTTAATGATTGACTGCTCACCTAAAGTAAGGAGTTCATAGGAATTTCTTGATTATCGGGGTATGTCAGGAAGTGGGGGACACGTTCTAGTACTCCTAAAAATGAACTACCTAAATGGTTGTCTGTAGATCTCAATGTTGAATATAAGTGGACAACAATATCCTTTGTCGTCGTTAGCTAAATGGTCAATTTAGGAATTTGATCTCAAATGTCTTGTAATATATAATCTGTCTAAAATTGGCAAAAGGGTTCTTTGTGTTCAAGTCGATCACAATAGTGGTGGTTGACCAGATGTACTCATGCATGTGTGTGCTGAAAAATAAAGTTAAGGCTGTTTCAAAACATATGATCCCAAAGTGTTTAAATTTTAAATTTTAAAGTGTGGTTAGTGTCAAAAGTGTTAGTTTTAATTTTAATTTTAATTTTATTTTTATTTTATCTTTTCTAAAAATTTAAATTTTATTTGCATTTAAATTTTAGTTTTGATTTGATTTTATTTTATTTTTGAAAGTATTCAAAGCATTTATTATTTTAAAAAGGGGGTAATTGGACTATTGTTAAAGATGAGTTGAGTTTTGGGTGAGGCCCACCAGGTTTGTCTTATGATCCGTAAACACCTAATTAGGGTTTAATAGGCTAGATTTCAACCTCTCCACTCTTTCTTCTTCACGCCTCTGCCAAAATCTCTCTCTCTCTCTCTCTCTCTCTCTCTCTCGTTCTCTCTGACATTTGTTGGTTGATTTTCTACCTATCTTCTCATCGATTCATCACTTTTCTTGTCTTTCATCAAAAATTGTTCATTGATTCATCTAAGTAAGTAGATTGCGAGTGTTGTTCATCAGTTCTAACACGATTTGATTGAGATTTTTGCAGATTTTAGGAGCTAAACGATGATTCTAATGGTAGTTTTTCATTGAATTACGTCGTAGATTCAATGGGTTTAGGTTTGCAGTGACCCACATCCGACAGAAAATCCAGATCCAACCGAAACTGATGAACCTTGACCACGTTGACCGCAATCGTGTTCTGCGCTTTGACCGAAAATAATAAACTTTGACCATTTTGACTGCAGACAATTTAAGTCAAGCCAAATTCAAGCCTTTTTTACTTCAGTTGACCGAAATCAACCTTAGTTGACCGAGATTAATGTTTTGAGAAAAACTAATTTTATTTATTTTAACTTTTCTTTTCTCTCTTGGCTCATTTGGTGCAGATAAATTGTTGAATTGAAATTTTCTGACTCTCACAACATTGTTGGATGTCTTTCTGATCCACCACAGAACCATCAGGAGTTTAAGTCCATGGTTCATGGCCTAAACAACTTCAGGATTACTCATGCTCTTAGAGTGAATATTGTCATCTATAAAAACCTAGTAAGGGAGTTCTGGGATAAGGCTTCTATTAATAAAGCAGGAGCATATGATGCAGGCACTGTATAGTCAACAATAAAGGGGAACAAGATTATAGTGTCAGAGAAAACCATTCGTCAAGTTCTCAAATTCAAAGATCAGCCAGAATTCTCGATTGAAAAATCTGTTGTTCAGATTGTGGAGGTTCTCGAACAAATGTGCTATGAACGAACCTTTCTTCCAACTTTGAAGAAGCTGCTCCCTCCCTACTAGCGCTTCGTAGGTCACACTTTTCTGATCTACATCTCAGGAAGGAAAAGGGGAGCTGATGAGATCCCCTAGTCATCTATTGGTGCCATTATTGCTCTTGTTATGGATTTGGACTTCAACTTTTCCAAGTTTGTGTTTAATGAGATGAAGAGCAACCTGGAGTGGAAAAAGAAGGATGTGTTCCTGATGTACCCAAGATTTCTACAAATGATCATCGATGATCAACATCTTGATTTGGAAAGGACGGTTGAAACTTTGGATACACAGTCCTTGGGTCCAAAGTCTTTTGGTTTAACGAAACAAAATCGAAAGGGTTCAAAGATTGTATTTAGGGGAACAAACCCTTTAGTGAAATTCGGAAAATTCGCTGAGAATGAAGAGGCTTCAGTCTTTCAAAATATTCCAAATGTTGAACCAGAGAATGCTCCGGTTGCTGAAGCTGGAAGTATTCATGTTCCTGAACCTGAGGTTGTTTTTGATGTCATTCCTCGTGTGGCAACTATGATGGAGGAGCATGTGCCTGTTCTTAATGATGATGATGATGATGATGATGATGATAGAGAAGGTGATGATGAAGAGGGTGAGGCAAGGTGTCTTAATGATGAGGATTTCATGTTTGATTTTGAGCTTAGTGATGATCAACGTCGTTCGTTTCTCAAATTCCATAAAGTCGATGATGTTGTGAGCTCTCCAACAGAGACTAGGGGAGATATAAATATTTTCAAGCTGCTGCTACAAACACCCGCTCATATGGCTGAGGTTATTGCACAATTGGATTCAACTGCAACGATTCATCCTCGAGTAGTTGCTACTCCAAACATTATTACACTTGAAAGAGATCTTGAAGAGTCTCAAGCCTCTCAACTGCCACTAAAATGAAAGTGTGTTGATCCTAGGCCGGCAGTGCTCATTAAGGAACAAACTCAACCAGCTCAACAGCCAATCACTATCACTGAACCAGTCCAACTGATTCGAGACAAAAGCCCAATTTTGCATTAGAGGCCTAGTTTTTCTCAAGAATCTTTTGAACCAGGTAGTTCTTCAGATCCTAGTAGTTATTCAGTTCCTCTAGCTGCACATGATGCCATTTCTGAAAGGCATGCCAGGTTTCTTGCTCGAGAAAATGTTAATCCTGCACCCAATGGAAAAGGCATATCTACTGGTGCATGGATCTCCGATGATGAATATCAAACCATTGTTGAGCTTAAAGAATAACTTTGAGTCTTAAATCAGAAGATTATCGAGAAAGATGTTCTGGTCAGGACTCTGGACTTTAGAGTTTCTGAGCTTGAAAGGGAAAATTCCCCAAAAAAATAAGCAAATTTCTGATCTGCAACTAAATCTCAGTGCTCTTTCAGTCGGATATTTTTACTTGAAGAATAAACTGCTCAACAAATTCGGTAACAAATTGAAGACATCTAGGAGTGAGCCTGATGAAGCCAGTGCAACTCTAAGTGAACCTTCCCATGCACCACAAGATGTTCCTCGTCTTGTTAATACAACTCACCTTGTTGACTGATTTGAAGATTATCGAGAAAGATGTTCTGGTCAGGACTCTGTACTTTAGAGTTTCTAAGCTTGAAAGGGAAAATTCTCAAGGAAAAGGGCAATTGATTTTGATGAAAAACTCCGATCAAAACATTCGTGGAGATCGGCCTCAATTAGGCATCCGACTGGTGTTATTCGTCTTCTTGAAGCGAAGGATTTTTTACAATTTGGTGTGCATGATATCCATACTCTTGCAGGTCATCATATCGTGGTCAAAGATGATATTTTAGAGGTTGTTTCCAAAGAATACATTGGTATGGTTGTAGAAATCATTAACAAGAGGATGTGGGCAGGTGCTTTGGGGTCCTCAAATATGTTGATTGTTGATAAGCCTTGAGATCAAGCTAGCATCAAACCAAGGGGGAGATAGTTAGGTCTTACCTTGTTGGTTTGTGCTAGGAATATATATGTTAGGCTTTGTTATTCATTTATTTATTGTTAATATGGGTTTTCGGTTAGGGTTGGACCAAAATCAGTCTTGATTTCGGTCCTTGGGCATTTGGGTTTTGGGTTTCCTTGTATAATTGTGTTCCCTATATAAGGAGACTTGGATGGTTGGTTCTTAGCAAGCTTTTCAATGATAGCATTATGAAGGTCCTCCATTGTTATGATCTCCTTTGTACTTGACGATTCCATTAATATAATCGTGTGCATTGGGTTGTTTTCGTGTTTTGTTCTTGATTTACTTTGCATTGATTTCGCACTTGCTTAGTGATTTAGATTGATTACTAGTTGGTTCATGTTTTAGGACTTACATATTTTATAGAAACTATATATTGTTAACCTCTTCCTTAATTCTTGGTCATTTATGTTTGAATATTGGTTTTATAATTTTAGATAGTACATAAATTCATTGTAAATTTCCAAAATTACATTTTCGAAATGATTAGACCATATTTGGTCATAGAATCGCACAATAGTTATATATGAACCTAAATATATATATATATATATATATATATATATATATATATATATATATATATATATACACCCACATATATATATATATATATATATATATATATATATATAGAGAGAGAGAGAGAGAGAAAGAAAGAGAGAGAGAGAGAGAGAGAGAGAGAGAGAGAGACGGAGACAGAGAGAAGTAGACTTTTGAGTACAAGTAGGAATAAGCAAATAAACATAGAAATCCTTCCATAAATCCATACCAATATTAAAGAGAAAAGTTTTGGTTTCCTATTGGTGTAAAATATAGATAAACAAAAATAATTAGTATCCAATACTAAGGATAGAGTCGAAGAATTAGAAGTATAACTAAAATGAAATTTAATTGTCCCAACAAAAGGGAAAATAGTCAATCCCTGAGTATGAAATTGTTCTCCCCTAATAGGAACACCCTATAGTCTGCATTTCTAGACGAAATTCGTAATACAAGAGGAGAATGTGACAACTGGGAAATTTCCGGCAACAACTGTCACTAGAGACAAATGGTAGCAATAGACTTTTTCATCTTTTAGAAAGATATGATCAAATACTCTATAATTTATAAATAAAAAAGGTTAATATGGTCAAAAACAAGTGATCAAAAAGTTATACCATTATTAATAAAGGATAGTGTATTTGGAAAGTACAGTAATGTGATACCAAGGATATAAACTTTGTAACAATGTGACTCCGATTAGAAGAGTTGCAATTTTATAAAAAGTAAAAATTAACCATGTTGCTAACGTAATCAACATTAAAATAGTATAAAGAAATTCATGGAGTTTTGATTGAAGTCATTAAAAGGAAAATTAGAGTACTATAAGATATAAGAACTTTGAAATAAAGACATCCAAAAATGGAGTCCATATAAAGATGATATTATTTTTAATAAAAATATAATATACAAGTTAAAATAAAAGTTAAAATTTGACAACACAACCTTTAGGAAAGTTGTACTACTCAATGGTAGCTACACAAATATATAAAGAGGGAAAGAAAAAAGATTCGTATAAGGAAGATATGTTTTTTTATAGAAAATTTAGTCTGATTAAATTTACCTACCCCGAACCTTTAATCGTTAAACTTGCGAGAGCCAGACAGATATATATAAATCTATAGAGGGCTACCACCCCCACCTAGATTTGCTAGTTACAATCCCGTCAGGATAACTTTTTTTTATATACAAGCATTATTCGACGCTTGATGAAGTGTCGTGCAAGGAAAATATTAGTCCGCGACGTCGATTATGGGGACTCATGGTAATACAAACCCAAAAACTTAATGAAGTCAACTACCTACATGGACGCCTTTGAGTAGTGAATATTACAACAAATTAGTATTAGAAAAATATCTTATAAAGTGTTTTAAGTTAGGATTGATAAAATATCCTAAAATATATTATAATAAATTAGAATTGGTAAAATATCATATAAGATATTTTAAGTTGGGGTTGGTAGAATATCCAAAAACTATATAGTAAGTTAGGATTGGTAAATATCCTCAAAAGAAAAGAGGAAAATATAAAATATTAGGATCAATTGTATCCGAAGGATTTAAATATTTTGAAATAAATGAGCTTTCGAAGTTACGATATAATAAACTTAGGAAACAAGGAATATGAGAAAGATGATCATAGTCATAACAAATATCCTAAAAAATTTCAAAAAGAGATTATTAGATATTTATTTAAACCTGTGAACTCATCAATATCAAGTTGATGTTTTCGAAATCGCATGTATTCCTAGGACGTAGAAGAAATCAATGCAAGGATGGATAAGGAACTCAAAGATAGATAGGTTTTTATTTATCCCTTGTAATAGACATCAATTATTAATTGATATGTATTTATAGTTTTTTGTCTATGATTTGGGTAATCAATGTACTGTCTTCACTCCTATGTACTTTCGCTATCGACCGAGGGTGTGAGAATTGTTACCCCGAGACCTCTTGTCATTGGTGCTAGACTTCAAGAATCTACTCTTCTTAATGAACCTTGAAGATCCGTCAAACTTCCTTTTCTCTCAGGTTTTAGCTTTCTCCAAACACTTCTCCTTTATATGGGTCACTACACTCCTCATTGCCCAGATGATTGCTTTTAGAGTTGTTTCTAACTTTACTGTTAGAACAAAATTCATTGGTGGTCTATTAGCAAATTTATTTACTTTGAAAAGTTCAATAGGAACCAAATAAGGAAGTAGCTTCTTCATCTTCATAGTAAAATTATCAGCATATTCAGTCACACTCATCTTTCCCACCTTTAGATTTTGAAATCATTGATGATCTCTAGAAAATATTTTTCAAAGTAGTATTTGTGACAACCCGAAAATTTTATCATGTGCAACTGATTCATGTATCAGTCTTTATCTCGAACTTACCATCTCTTAGCGAAATTTTGGGTCCATATGAGTGCTTTAGGCTTTGAATATCATAGATATGAGTCTTAAGAATGGTTAGAAAGTGTGTAGCATCGCAAAATCGGGCCAAACACACCAAAGAAGGTGTGTGCGGCCACACACCCAGCCGTACACACCCTCCAGCCTCACACCTAACCCTATATATTGGAGGAGACTCCCCTTCATTCACTTTCTTCCTCTTTTGGCTGCACTCTACTTTCTCTCTCTAAAACCATTATCCATGAACATCATCAAGGACTCAAAAACATGAACTACATCATCATTCAGCTTGTTTTAGTGGTAAGACATTTGAATCGAAGCCTAAAACTCATTGTGTTCTTCATGTTCTTCATCCTTTGAAGGAGTGCGGTCGCACATCGTCATAAGGTGGCCGCACACACTCAAATACCCTCCAAAGTGAGAGTTTGGCCTCTATAATCGAATTAAGACTTAGCTTGGGAACTTAAAATACCTCAAAATCGATATTTCAGGATCAAACAAGGAGTGTACGGCCGCACACTGCTATGTACGGCCACACACACCATCTGTACGACCGCACGTTCCTGTATGCAGCTGCACACACAAGTCTGACCAGACTCCCTGGCCGCACACTCACTTTATGGCCATACACCCACTCTAATGCTCATATTTGGCCTTAAACTTGCAAGGATCACTACGTGTGGAACCTAGAACACTTAGTTCAAACATTTCCAAGACCTTCGGATGGTTTCCCATAATGATTAGTCATGAAATACCCTAATCTAATACATATATGTGTTACCATATGATTAATAGGGTCCACTTGCTTTCAGAACATACGTTGACACTCGGCACTCATATCAATTTTACACTCGAACCCTACGTTAAACTGTGAGTTCATACCCCTACACTTTTCCGAGTTTTTCATGTTTTCAAGGGGGGGGGGGGGGGGAATACAAGCTAAACATAAAGGTTTTAATAACTTAAAAATTACAATGATTTTCTATCAAACGTTTAGATACAAATATCCCTTTTGTATTATGCAAAGCATAAGGCATGTTTTCAACTCATAATTGCAGAGTTTTCAAAACCACACACGAACGTAACAACCATTCAAGTTATAATAGGTATAGTTTGGGATTTCATTACCAATCTTATAGGTTCAAACTTCATGCAAAGTCAAACATATAAACTATGTCAAATTTAGTTTATCCATTACTACGAATACAAAACTAGAGTATCATGCTAAATAATTATTTTATGTATAATTATTTATACTCTACACCGTTACAAACGATTTCGAGCTCGAGAACAACCATGAAAACAAGTAAACTAGTTAATACAGGA